AGAGGGAGAACAAACACTTTTTAAAGAAATAATAGAATTTTAATTAACAAGTACAGAATGAAGGAAGGAAATCGATGGCTAGGCAATACAACATTAATAATTATTGTAGGCAAGAATTATCAATAGAGGCAAGACCTCCTGGTGCCCTAGGGATTAAGTCTCAGTGCTGTCACCTCTGCGGCCTGAATTTGATTCCTGGCCAGGGAGCCTAACCCACATATGGCACAGCAGACCTTTCCTTTCTCGCCCGCTGCTCCCCTTAGCAGTGGATTTCAGTAAATCTGCCTGTTCTTCCCATTTTGTCTCTGATGAATCCTCTCATCCCTCATCCACCGCACCTCTGGCCTATACCCAGTTCTTCTATGCAAAAATAAATAAATATATCTTTTTTTTAAAAAAAGAATTATCAATAGATTCAAAGATGAATGGGCAAAGGGTATGATGAGAAACAGGATACTTGGTGAATCTCAAAACATCTCCCTTCAATATATTTGTTGATTACAAAGGATGAGACATCTTGCGGACACCACTTTCACTAAGTTAACAAGTTATCATCACCAGTAATGATAACAAGTTATCATCACCAGTTAACAAGTTATCATCACCAGCAAGTTATCATCACCTTCACTAAGTTAACAAGTTATCATCACCAGTAATAACAAGTTATCATCACCAGTATCATCACAAGTTATCATCACCATTAAGTTAACCAGTTATCATCACCACCTTCACTAAGTTAACAAGTTATCATCACCAGTACATGTCCTCATGTACCTCCCGATGGCCCAGTATCACTTCTATGATTTTCTTGCCTCAAATGCTCAACCTCAATGTAATCATGAGAAAGGCTCAGACAAGCTGAAATTGGAGAACTTTGTACAAAATAACTTACCTGGACTCTTCCAGTATGTCAAGGTCACGAAAGCAAAGACAACGAGGAACTCCACAGAGTAAATGCATGGTGGGATCCTGAACTGGACCTTGGGCTGAAAAAAAGAAAGACATTAGTGGGATAGTTTGTGAATTTTTTTAAATTTAATTTTTTAAATTTTTGCATAGAAGAACTGGGGTGTAGGCCAGAGGTGCAGGGGGGTGAGAGGATTCACCAGAGACAGAGTGGGGAGAAGAACAGGTGAATTTGAATTTACTGAAATACACTGCTGAGGGGAGCAGCAGATGAGACAGGAGAGGTCTGCTGTGCCGTATGTGGTTAGTTCTCTGGCCGGGGGATCGAACTCATGCCGTAGTGGTAATAGCCCTAAGTCCTGACCCCTGGCCACCAGGGAGGCCCAGTTTTGGAAATTTGAAGAAAGCCTGCAAAAGTTTATTACTGTGTATCAGTGTGAATTTCATTATTTTATTAATTAACTACTATTATATAAGGTGTTAACATTACATAATGTTAACTGGGAGAATGGCAGTTAAGAACTACTATTTTTGCAACTTTTTATATGTCTAAAATTACTTCAAATCAAAATGTTAGAAAGTGATGTCCTGGTATTGTAACAGGGTGGTCCCCAGGAAAGGGGGAAGTTCCCTGCTACAGTATGATTTTATATGTTTAGGAATTCCTTTGTTAGCAGGAAGAGGATAGTTGTATATCAGAAGATTCCTCTTTATAATCACTCTTACTATTCACTAGGATTTTCAGTCTCGCATTCATTGTCAGAATTCTTGTGACTATTGTCCCTAAAAAAAGGAAGTATCCCTTTACCTGTCATCTGGTGACATCCTAACACATTTATTTCAATATTAGGATTGTAAAATAACAATAGCAACTGAGCTTCAAATGGCAATGGAAATGGGAAGTTAGTGCTTTGGGTCATTTTTTTTTTTTTTTTGATTGTGCCCAGCTTTCTCTCAACTGGAGCTAAAAGTAAAATAGAAACATTTCAGGGGATTAGTTCTAATTTGTGAAATCCAAGAAATGATGAAATTTAAGGAATAGATTTTTAAAATTTTACCTGTGTGCTTTCTGAGTAATTTATTTTTTTATTTAATATATTTTATTTTATATAATTCTTACATCAGTTTTCATTTTTGCACAATGCATGCATTTTCATTTTGGTTGTATTCCCCATACAATTCCTACCCCCCTTATTTTGACCCTAATCTCTCTTCCCCTCCTGCCCCTCCATAGTGTATCTCTGGTTTATAGTTGCTTGTTGATTTTGATTTTTTCTTTATTATAAATAGTCTTTTTCCTGGTCCCTTATTTAGGTTGTCTAGATTCTTGCTATAAGTGAGACCATCCAGTATTTTTCTTTTTCTTTCTGGCTTATTTCGCTGAGCATGATCCCTTCCACCTCCATCCATGTTGCTGCAAATTGCATGTGTTTATCTTTTTTGATTGCTGAATAATATTCCATGGTGTATATGGACCACATCTTCTTGATCCAGTCATCTATTTTTGGGCATTTGGGTTGTTTCCAAAGCTTAGCTATTGTAAACAGTGCTGCTATCAACATAGGGGTGCAGATGCTCTTTGGAATTGATGTTTCTGTGTCCTTTGGGTAAATACCTAGAAGTGGAATTGCTGGATCATATGGAAGCTCTATGAGTAATTTAAATTCATTGAAAGCAACTTCTGTATGTCCTTCCTTATTTGAATCTCCAGTTTCCAGTGAGTGTTTTCCCAGAAAAGACTGTAAAGGATGATATATGGAGAAGGATGCAAGGCTGAGTAGCTAGAAATTATCTTTATTCCAAAAGGATAAAGTAGAGTGAGAAAGGAAACATTTTGTGATTACTGCATTTCTGTAAAAAAATGGGTTTATCTTATTAACGCTCAATTTTATACAAACCTTTGATCCATAATATAGTAAATAAGAGAGTCATGGCAGAGTAAGAAATGAAAAAAGAGATCAGAGGCTTCTATTGGCAGTACTATGTACTCTGATAAAATTTATCTTATTAATGTGAATTGAAACACTCATCTCTACTGTTGTTGACCTATTACTTTCACTTTCTCATTAGCATTTCATCATTATCCGAAATACAGTCTCCACTTTGCTTTGTCTACCATAACCTATATTTGACTTAGCTGTTACATAAATTGGTTAACACTGAAAAAAATAAAAAAAAATGTTTAGGGGTTGACTTTGAAGGCTTCGAATAAGGTCTTTATTAGTCCCAAAGCTATTTTAAATGGAGGTGGGTGTTACAGGAGTGTCCCACAGAATCAAAGACCTCAAATAGCTGGGGAGGTTTTAAGAATAGATTTATAGCATGCTACTGAGACCAGATGTTGTCATCCCAGGAATCAAGGTAGTAATAGATTATTTGCCCTCTACCTACTGTGAAGCAGTAACAAAGTCAGGAATTGAGTTTAACGCCTAATTCCTTAATCCCTTACCTCCACCTTCTGTCTCCAAATTTGCATTTTTATTGGGACACCTTTGTCTTCCAGGAAAGACAAGTGAATATAACAGATGAGACAAAGCTGGCTTTCAGTATAGTAAAAGTCTCACCTACTTTAAAAAAATTATGATAAAATGCCCACAACATAAAGTTAAGCACAATTTTTTTCAGTGATTATGAAGGAGTCTTTATTTAAGGTGCCAGATGAAAATGCAACATTTTGCTCCCAGCTGGAGAAAAAGATCATCATATTAAATTAAATTCATGTTTTACCAAACTTGACTTGGAATGGAGAAAACTGAACTGCCTGTTTTATGATCTTTCCCCTGCATTTTAGCTAACTTAGTTTAATTCATTTGAAAATAAACACTGGATTTTTTTGGTGGGGGGGAATTTGATTTTGAATACCTTTTAAAATGTGGTATAATTTTTGTACCATTTTTGCTGCATTATTTTAGTTTGGTTTTCTCAAAGCAGACCTCTCCGTTAGTTGCCACAACATCTACTTAAACACATTTTATACTAAATTCATGTAATGCTTTAGTGTTAGAATTGGCGAGGCTAATACTGTGTGTCCTGTATCAATTTTCTGGAGGCCTGGGACCCTAATATCACTTCCTTTAATTTTCTCAGTTATAAATCTTTTAAGCAATGTCAGTATACTGACATGTTGACGTCAATGGAGTTATTTTTAGAATGCCAGTTTAAGACCAGTTTTTCCTGCATCTGTCTTTGAAATGCAATTTAAAAATGATTAATCTGAAATGTCATTTGGTTAGATATGAATCACTGTTTTTTTACCGGTAAGACTTTGGATCCAATTGCCATCTGAAATGGAAAAAGGAGGTGAACCACAGAAAATATCTTAAATTTTTCTTTTCTAGCTATGGGTGGCAAGGCATGATAATCAAGGGCCCTAGGAGGTGTTTTTTGTCAGAAGACAGGATTTATCCATTGCTTCAAGGGTACTAGTCCGTAGGTGACCTAGACGTTTTCCTAATTCCCAAGACACTATTTGCCTGACCCTGGTTTTTAAGGATACTAGAGCTAGAACTATAATCTTTAAAAAATTTCTTAAAGTAATACAGGAGAAGGGGGCCTCCCTGGTGGCACAAGGGTTTAAGATGCAACCTATGAAGCTATCCGCAGCCACGGCAGCACGAGTTCAATCCCTAGCCGGCCAGGGAGCTACCCACATGGCGCAGCAGACCTCTCCTGATTTGCCCGCTGCTCCCCTCAGCAGTGTATTTCAGTAGATCTGCCTGTTCTGTTCCCCACTCTGCCTCTCACCCGCCACATCTCTGGCCTGAACCCCAGTTCTTGTATGCATAAATAAATAACTCTTTAAAAAAAAGGAATACAGGAGAAAATAGAAAGGAGCATCTTTCCTATAAGTATGCAAATAATTTGGGAAGTACCAACACAGGTTGTGTGGATGCTAATGTAAGTTGGAAGGGGCTCCCTGCATGCTGTAGCAGTTGCTCGGCATGATTTGGGAATTATAAGTGTTACTACATGAACAGGGTGGAGAAAAAAGTTTGCAAACAACTGGTATAGAGAAGACATAACCCAATAAGAAGCAGAGTACTGGGGTGTCTATGATGACTAAAATCTCATCTTTCTATTGTCTTTGATTTCAGATTGCCTGTTTGGTGCCTGTGGATCAGTTTCAGCTTTATCAGCGGTTAAAATTTGAACGAGGTATGCACTCACCTTTTTATCTTGATGGTGAATAGAGTTTTACAGGTGTCATCTTTACAGAAACCTGCATGGACTGTTAAGGCAGTTGTGGGCTGTTAAAGAAGCCACACAGAAAGGGGAGAAGAGTAACTGCAACCTGAGACTTGAACTTTCTCAACTGCAGCCAGAAAAAAATGCAGACTAGCAGGAAGTAGAAGTTTGCTTATCTTGGTCTGCATTGTTAATTTGACTTGTGATAGAAGTTCTACAAAAGTTGGGTAGTTTCATAAAAACAGCATTACCAATAAAGCGACCCTCAAAATTAATATTTTTTAAAGATTTATCTATTTATGCATGTAAGAACTGGGGTACAGGCCAGAGATGGGGGTGTGAAAGGATTCACCAGAGACAGAGTGGGGAACAGAACAGGCAAATCTGCTGAAATAAACTGCTGAGGGGAGCAGCGGGCGAGACAGGAGAGGTCTGCTGCGCCATGTGGGTAGCTCCCTGACCAGGGATTGAACTCGTGCTGCAGCAGGTGCGGTAGCTTCATAGGTTGCATCTTAACACCTTGTGCCACCTGGGAGGCCCTCAAAATGAATCTCAACACCACTTTCCCCACTCCTGAAGATCACTTTAAAACATTAATCAGTGTAAGCAGTTTTTACTGCTCCTCATAATAGGCATCATCTTTTCTTTTGATCCCACTTTTGTAACTATAGTGATGGCTGAGTATATTATCTTCATGTGATTTACTATGTATCAGACTAATTTTCTTTCTGATTTTGGATGGGGTGATTTATCTAGCTTTCAGTACTTACACTTTGAAGGCAGTATTTCTACTGCCTTTTTTCTGTAGTAATTTTTTCACTCCTCTCGATACTGATCTTTCTGAGGAGTCATTTCTCTCTTGTCACACTGTAATATGTTCTTGAACTAGATGGTTTATTTTTCTGTATCTGAGAAGTAGGAGAAAGATTGTTCCTTAGAAAGCATCGGACTGATGTGGTATCACTGAGTTTATAAAATAAGCTAGCATAAGCATCGATTTCTGATTGCTAACTTTTTAATCTGGATTAATACAGTCTAGAGTTAAGGGGAAGGGAAAAAGCAAACATTTAACAACCAGTATCAATAAGTTTGGTAAACACAATTACCTTTGTCGCATTTAAATTTTGTAAGGGCAGGACTGGTCACGGTGCAGGTTTTCTGATCCCATGCAGACCGGGTAAAGGAGGAGTCAGGGTCCTCAGTGGCTTTTGCAGGTCTTTAATTTAGATTTACCAGGCACATGGCAGGTAGGGGCGCTGGGAGGCCGGGAGGCTGGCAGGCCTCCCAGCCCCCAGCAAGTCTTCACTCTATCTGGGCTCTCTGGCGTTCGTTCTGCTGCTTCTCGGCTTCTGCTTCGGCTGCTGCTGCTGCTTTCTCTGCTTCGGCTTCTGCTGGCGTCCCCGTGACGCCGCCCTTAAAAAGCACAGTCTTAGCCCAGGTGAATCCCATCTACCTATGCCCACACCCTACTCCAGGTGCCCGCCATCAGGCATGCATTCAGGACAAGATCCATCATCTATCCTGATGGCGGAAGGGCAGAAAAGCCTGACATTTACCCTACAAATTTGCAACAGGGGCCTCTCTGGTGGTGCAGCGGGTTGAGCGCCGCACTGTGCAGCTGTCCACAACCTTTGTGGCTCGGGTTCGATTCCCGGCCAGCCCGGGAGGAACCCACATGGCGTGGCAGACCTCTCCTGCCTCGCCCACTGCTCTCAGCAGTGTCTTCAGCATGTCTGTCTGTTCTGCTCCCCACTCTGTCTCTGGTGAATTCTCTCACCCTCCCGCACCTCTGACCTGTACCCGAGTTCTTGTATAAATAAATAAAAAAATCTTAAAAAAAAAAAAAAATTTGCAAAAGCCCTCACAGGTAATCCTTACATAAAGAAGGAAAGCCATGTAGAGCATGAATACAAAATGAGTAGGAACAATTTAGCCATTTACAGAATTGCATTTGCAACCTAGGACCAAGATCTGGCTCAGTCTCATAAGCTTATTTTTTTTCAGTAAACCCAAGCAAATTAACCTCTTGTGAGCATATTTAAAATTTTAAGACTGATATGTTAAGGTGGAACTGACTGAAAGATTTTTAGACTAGATTACTTGTATGTCATATTACTGATAAATATATGCTGTGTAGGAAGATGCAGATAGAAGGCTAGGAAATAAAATGTTGTACCTGGACTCAGAAACAGCAGAGTCAGATTAATTTTAGGTTTAAGGGCAGATGCATCTTTCCTGTGTTGATTCTTAGTTAATGAGAGAAATTCAATGACAGGATAGTATATGACCTCTCCATAATCTCTGTGGGCTGATTAGGTTTATTATAATTATCAGGAGCTGCTTTATTGATGTCATAATGTTGTCAAACATCTGTGCCTTACTCCCCCATTTTATCTGAATATCCTTTCACTATCAAAATAAATTATTATTGGACATAAACATTCCAAGTGCTCACCCCAAGGATGAATGTGCCATGATTTGGGGGTTTTTATTTGAAGAAAGTCAAAGGAGTTCGGTTGACTTCTGGAATGAAGAGAGCTGTCAATCTCACCAGCCCTAGTCAGTAACCAGGGGGTTCAGCCCATTTACAGAGCTGTCTTGTCCTGGATATAACTCTTCATGTTTCTTTATTCCTTCTTCATTGTTTATATTTTATTATTCAATTCAGCAGTTTTTACTACTATAAAATATTGAAGTTAAATACTTAAATCTGGTTCAACCTTCATTTTATAAACAGTAAATCAAGGGCAAGACATTTTGATCTTAAGTGACTAAGGAGGGCAATTTCTAATCACATAATTCATCACTGTCATCCATTATAAAAAATTATTGTTGGAAGTAAAAGTTTATGTTAATACAGTGCTACATAGTGGAGTTTACTTGATTGGGATAACCTTTGTCTGAATTGTATACCTCATTTTTAGGTAATAGACTTCAAATCCACCTCAAACTTAAGATACACCAACTTGGTGAATTTGAGGCCTAGTCCAGGAACATAATTTTATGTGGAACTGTTAAGAAGCAGATCTTTTTTTTTAAAGATTTATTTATTTTTGTATAAGAACCGGGGTACAGGCCAGATGCACGGGAGGGTGAGAGGATTCATCAGAGACAGAGCAGGGAACTGAACAGACAGACTGATGAAACACATTGCTGAGGGGAGCAGCAGGCGAGACAGGAGAGGTCTGCCGCGCCATGTGGGATTCTCACCAGCCGGCCAGGGATTGAACCCGCGCTGCAGAGGCTGCAGACAGCTTCACAGAGTTGTGCTTAAGTGCCTGCGCCATCAGGGAGGCCCAAGAAGCAGATCTTGAGATTCATTAAATACTAATGTTATGAGTGGATTAAAGCAACCAACTGGCAGAAAATAAACTCATTGACTGGACTCTGAGATAGAATTGTAGAGATTGTTGTTGTCTGAAAAAATGTAGAATCATTGTGGCAACTCTGTGTCTTATTTATAAGATTTACATAAATAACCAAAAAACATAGATCAGAAAAACACAGCAAAAATAATTCTTAGACTTAGTGAAAAGTAGATTGGTTACCAGTGGGAATGGTGGGGAGGGAGCAGGGGGTAGAGGAAAAAAGAATGGGCAGGAATTTGGTGGGTGAATGAAGCACTTGCACACATGAAGGGGCACAAATTTAACCCCAAAGTTATCCAGACATGTAAATGCTGATGGATTAAGAAGAAAGAAAAGAGAAAAATTAAAGTTTTTTCTAATTCTTGCTGCTTACTAATCTTTTCTCAGTTTGTCATCCAGTGTTTTAATTCTCCCCTGTTTTATGTCACAGATATGATTAGTTTGCCTTAATTGACTTTGCTGTCATCTAAGTCTTTGTGAGGGAGAAATCTTTTGCATAGTATTGGACCCAAATCATCACTGTTTACACAAAGCAGAGAAATGCCATTTGGCATTGATTGGTTATTCTATGAATCCACTTTCCATCCATCTGTAACTTTTCCATTGGCTGCCCCAGTGTTTGTGGCTTTTTCTTTCTGTGTCAGCCTGCCAATGTTAACAAAGAAAAGGGAATACCACGCTTGGCTTGTGTTAGTGATTATTGCTTTTCTTTCTACTGGTTCTCAAAGCCCATGCCTGATGATTAATGTTAGACTTTTGCTGGTTTTCTAGAATCTACTGGTTCATTTGAAAATTGGGTTAAGATGATCCATCTTTGGTCCTTAAGCGCATTTCCTACTTTCTTGTGGCCCATATTTTACTTGCAATAACTGTAAGTGTCTTGGTAGGTTCATGTGCTTGTACTTGGATATTTGTGTTATTCATAATCACAGTGCTTAGAAACTGTTATAATTGGTTGAAGTGCCATCCGCGTGCCAAGTGTTTTCCTCCATAAAAAGTGAAGCAAAATAGGAATGTGTTGTCCTGTTGTCTGTGAACCCTACGGCACTCAGCCTCCTTGTTGAAAATTTTGAGTTTTGACAGGGATGGCACAATTCCTCGAAGTTCATCCATCCCTCTTAAATTGTTCTTGAAGAAATTCTCCCAATCTGTCTTTGTATTTGATTGGATTATTAAGGTTTTAATATCACCAGAGCTCCTGTGTAGATATTTGGTTTCTTTTAGCGGCTTTTTGTTTGTTTGTTTTGTTCAGACTGGGTGATACTTGATGATCTTGTTGTCAATTCAGTTTTATTTTTTAACACTTCCCATCTCTTATTAGTCATCTTCCTTGTCATAGTTTCTGATCACAAGTCCATTTTTACCGTGTTTGTGTGCATGTGTGCGTGTGTGTGTGTGTGTTTTCTTTCAGAGCCTGCTTTTTCTAGTGTTTTGTGGTAAATGGATGACTAAGTCTAGGGTTTCCTTTCTAAGCTGTTCTGTGCTTTGGGATGATAACACTTTCTTCTCAATGTTACATTTCCTCTACCTGACTATCCAATTCTTCCTTGTTGACGAGTCTTAAATCTAAAATAGCACCCTTGAAATGTTTCAGCCTTCCTCTAAAAAATTAAACTATCTGCAAAGAAAGACATTGATCAGCAGGTCAGGTAAGATTTCTCGAGAGGTGCAATGTTAAGTACTTGCTTCTTTCTGTGTGTTTATCCTTCCCTATAAATGGGGATAGTAGTGGTGGGATGATTATCTTAGGGCTGTTGTAAAGAGTTAATAAGTTCATATTGTGTATCTGTGGCCCTTGAAAGCAGACCTTAGATTGAAGGCACTCAGGAGGGAAGGCACAGAGAGGGAGAGTGGAGAGCAGACGAGAGGAGAGTGTGGTGGAGTATGATAGAGGACTGTGGGCACTTTGGTGGTGGGGTAACTATGGTGACCACACCTAAGGGGAGAAATCCTATGCTGTGAAAAAATAAACAAGAATGTTTAAAAATATTTTAAACAATCATGTGTCTGTCACAGTGTACATTCAATGAGTTATTGTCATCATCACTGAACCTATACCAATAATCTTCCCTTCCCCCTACCCCTAGTTCTCCAAACTAAGAAAGTATCTTCTAGAAAGAAATCATTCCTTGACTGAATGTCTAGCACAATGTCACTTGTGTTTTCTTTTCATCTTAATCCACATCTTTTCAGCATGTTTCCATCCTTGTCCTAGATGCTAGGAAGTTGTATAGAAACTTGAGAATGCTAATTTCTTACACCATCTATCATGTCAGTGCTCTTCATCCAGCAAACTCTTACCCTAAGCTTGAATCTGCCTCGTAACCCCCTCCAAGGAGATCATGACTGCTGAGATGGAGCTTCAGTTGCTGCTTTAAAAAGTTCGGGGCCTCCCTGGTGGCCTAGGGGTTCCTTCCCAGTGCCAGCCAGGGAGCTAACCCACATATGGCACAGCAGACCTCTCCTGTCTCTCCAGCTGCTCCCCTCAGCAGTGTATTTTAGTAGATCTGCCTGTTCCGCTCCCCACTCTGTCTCTGGTGAATCCTCTCACCCACCCCCACCTCTGGCCTACACCCCAGTTCTACACAAAAGTAAATAAAGTCTGAAAAAAATTAAAGAGAAAAGGTTCTCATGGTGATATTGGAGATTCAAATCTATTTAATAACATGATTATGTTTTTGCATAGAAAATGATATTATAGGAATAAAACACACCTGATCCTATCATATACTCAATAACAACGAGTTATGCAAACTCCTAACTTTTGTATTAGACTGCTAGCTGTTTATGAGTTTGAAATACTATGTGTTTGCATCAACTCTCTTGTGAGCAAGTTATCTTGTGACCCAGAGGGCCCCTTCTGTTTGGGCATATTTACTGTAGTGGATGTTCATTCTGATCCGCTTGGTTTAATTGCATTTTAACTATCTGCAGAAGACCTTTGTTTTTTGAGATAACAGAAAGCAAATTAACTTTAGCCTGATTAAAAATGCCATGGGTCATAAAAGGTAAAACAGTTTAATTATCAACTGATAATTAAATTAATTTGGGTATGTGGTGTTTTCCACTAGCAAAAATCATGTGATGTCTTTTGGGGCACAACTCACAATGTAAAGGATAGCAGAAAAATCACTCATGTTATTTGAGAGAATACACAACAAAATAAAAAAACACCTGTGCATAGCTAGTGCTGAAAGTTCCAGACCAAGAGTTTTGATTCAGTTGTTGTAAAGCAAAATCAGCCCTTGGGTTCAGGTGGGGTTTTTGGGCTCATAGCAGGTTTTTTTTTTTTTAAAGAGTATTTCTATATCCCCCAAATTTTCAGAGTACAGAGCACAAAATAGTTTTAAATAGCATTTTTTCACTTGCATGATTTATATGGACAAGCAGTCATTTTTTTTTTTAAAGATTTATCTATTTATTTATACAAGCACTGGGTACAGTCAGAAGTGCAGGAGGGCGAGAGAATTCACCAGAACCAGAGTGGGGAGCAGCGGGCATGGCAGGAGAGGTCTGCCCGCCATGTGGGACCCTCACCAGCGGCCGGGGATTGAACCGGCCCTGCAGAGGCTGCGGGCAGCTTTGCAGGCCAGCGCTCAACCGCTGCACCACTGGGGAGGCCCTGGACAAGCAGAGTCTTAAGATCAAACAGCATGGGGCTTTACTTCAGCAATCAGCTTTAATTTTCACAAATTCCAGTTCATGTCTGTGAATTTGTGTGAATTTGTATAACTTCTATTCAAGTATGTCACAGTTAATCGCTTCTAAATCATGTTCATGTTAAAATGTTGGGAACATGTTAGTTTGGGACTGATTTATAGAGGACCCTGCTTTTTCTCTTTTTAAGAATTTCTGCACTTACCCCTCCTTAAAGCTATGTAAAGTTTTTATTGCTGCCCAAGTAGAAGAAATTAGTTGACTGCATTAATTCACTTTCTTCCAAGTTCGACTTCCAGAATAAAATGTGAAGGCTTAAAGCCACATCTTAAAATATTTTGGAGAACTGTGCCTTTTGTTTATCTACATAACTGTGTTCCTTAGGCCAAAAGTCATAGTAATGTAGTGTTTATTCTAAAGTGTCTTGTTAGCCCGGGGGGGGGGGCTCCACTTCCCCTCAAACTCTTCTTAGATCATTGTTGTGAAGGGTACTCTTGCCATTATTGTTGAACCAATTCCTGGTGCCCCTGCACAGTTCTTTTTCTTTCTTCCTAGTCTGGCTTCTGTGACCTACTCTTACTTGGGAACATAATGCAAGGTCATGCTCTTAATAGCATCTCAAATTATAGTAATTTAGAAAAATACCTAAAACTTCTTTAATCTCCATTGAGTTTGACTTGTAGCTGCTCTTCTAGGAGCGAGTCTGCAGGGCAGATGCCATGTTGGGCTTAGACGCCTTTCCAGTGTGTTCTAGTTAGACGTGCGGCTCTGTTGATAAACCCATGTTACTTTGTGGGAAGCTCTTCTCCAAGAGACTCCAGAAGGCCGTATACAAAATGGGGGAGTCACTTCTATTCTTTAGGAACATCTGAAAGTAAGGCTGGACAATCCCCATATAGGCTATACTTATTACTATAAGGAATTGATCTACAGATATTGCCTCTTATGCTTCTGTTATGTTGCTTCATTCACTTTCTAATAATTCAAGGGAGTGGGTGTTGGAGATCAATGGGCCAAAATAGCAACAAAAAAAGGAAATCTATGATTCATAGATCCTCAGAAGCCAGGAAAGACCCTCAGCAGTGTATTTCAGTGGATCCGCCTGTTTTGCTCCCCACTCTGTCTCTTGTGAATCCTCTCACCCCATGCTACACCCCAGTTCTTGTATGCATAAATAAATAATAATAAATGTTTTTTTTGGAGCCTCAAGTCTGAATGCATGACATATAGACCATCGGTTTTTCTTTCTTTATTCTTTAGAAGTCCATCTGGACCCCTACCGAACATGGTGTCCCGTTGCTGACTGTCAGACTGTTTGCTCAGTTTCATCTGGGGACCCAGGACAGCCTGTGCTGGTGGAGTGTCCTTCTTGCCACCTGAAGTTCTGCTCATGTTGCAAGGATGCTTGGCATGCAGAAGTCTCCTGTAGAGATAACCAGCCTGTCGTCCTGCCAACAGAGCATGGGTAAGAGAGGAAACTTCAGGATTCCTCATTTTTCTTATAAATCCTAAATATGTTGTCTGGAGAAGGAATTACTTTTTGGTGGCAGTTAAGAGATTATAACCTTGAAGAACTTTCCTGAGGAGTGCCCCTAAGCATTGGTAAGTTGTTGCCAAAGAGAACCAAAAGAACATTTCTAAAGGAATTTTAGTTATAGAGACCAGCAGAATCTTCTAGATAATGCTGAAGTTGGTACAGAGAGGTACATGGTCCATTGAGTCTTAGTAGGAAGTCATGATTTGTCCACAGTCATTTGTTTAGGTTCCTTAACTGCCTATTATTAATAGACCTTGTTTTTGTAAAGATTTTTATTTATTTATGCATACAAGAGCTGGGATGTAGGCCAGAGGTGTGGGGGTGGGGTGGGGGTGAGAGGATTCACCAGAGACAGAGTGGGGAGCAGAACAGGCAGATCTATTGAAACACACTATTGAGGGGAGCAGCGGGCGAGACAGGAGAGGTCTGCTGTGCCATGTGGCCACCTCCCTGGCTGGGGGATTGAACTCATGCTGCAGTGGCTGCTGATAGCTTTATAGTACTGAGACTTATCCGCTTGTGCCACTAGGGAGACCCTAGACTTTGTTTTTAATGCTTGCAAAGTGGCGCAGAAATTATTTTCTATCCTGACTAAATTGCCATCTTGGAAGATGTGCCAATCATTTTGGACAGAACATAACAACAAAAATAACAGCCTTGCAGTGTCTAGGGTCCTAAATTCTTACATAAGCGAGAAAGGAGCTTACCTTTTAATGCTTTATACCCTGAAAAGATGGCTCTAAGTTGAAATTTTGTTAAGATGAGAAGCTATTAAATCCCTACCTGTTCCTATGGAGGGTTTTTATGGCAGTGACAGAGCCCAGAGTGAGAGACCTTTGTGTTAGATCCTTTGCTCTGCTTGAGGCTATGCTTTTCTGCACCAGCAAGAAGAGGAATACCAATGTTATGTCCAGTTGGCTGAATCACCCAGCCTGTCAGAGTGTGTAGAACCATTTTTCAGAACCAGCAATGCTACCTGGCTGTGACACTGGGCTTGAGTCTCCAACCAAACAAATCAACCGCCTGCACCACCAGGGGAGGCCCCTAAACAAATCAAGAGGGGAAAAAGACACAATGCACATGGCAGGCATAGTTCCTTATACCAAAAAAAAAAAATCTGTATTTTTACTGCCATTGCAAGAAGTGTGTTTTTGCCTGGGAGGAGAGAAGAATTAAGAGGAGAGAAGAATGAAGTTCTCACATTGTCTCTTGGTACCTGTGTGACCTCCTATAAGTCCCTTAGCTTCGATGAGTCTGTTTCCCTGTCTGGAAGAAAAGGGGAATTAAAATAGCAACGGTCATACTGCTAGATATGGTTATGGCGAGAACCTGTCATTGACAGCGCTCTGGATTTGAGGGGTGCTGGGTGCTGGTTTTGATGAACAGTAGCTATGACTCAGCTCACCCTTCCACCCACCCCAATTTGTTTCTTTTTTTCCATGCCCCTTTAAGCTGTCAGCCTGTGCTAATTCCTCTGCTTGGAGTAGGGCTTTTCAATAATATTGGTCATTTATTTTAAGTTATTGATCATTGAGTCCCCCTTCCACTTCCTCCACTATTTAATGAACAGGTCATTAGATTATCTACACTCCTTTAGATACTGGGCTACATTTTTCTGCTGTGTGTTAGACTTATTGCACTTTTTATTTAGACAGTGTGTGCTCAGGGAATGAAATATTAATTTGGCAAAATAATGAATTAAATTAGCCATGGAAAGTATAATTACATAGTTCACGCAAAGCCAAAGATAAATAGAGACTTTTTCGTTCTGAGTTATCTGAACCGTTTATAATCTGTGCCTCTCCTGCTTTTACCCCCATCCTTTTCCTTGGCAATGAATTAAGCACAGATAATGAAGAATTAACTACCTACCCCTCAGGAGCCCTGGGAATTCATTTGAAGAACATAAAGTTGAGCCTAGAAGGGCTCTGATTAATTATTTAATTAATGATATTCAGACCACTCTTCCCTTGTGGTTCAGAATATACAAAGAACACATTATCAACAACAAAAATCTAGTTTAAAAATGGGCAGAGGAACTGAATAGTCATTTCTCTAAGGAAGACATGAAAAGGTGCTCAACACCACTAATCATCATCAGGGAAATGGAAATCTGGAGCCCCATCCTATAATTTTGTCTCCATTTTGTTTCTAGCACCCTCTTTGGGACAGATGCAGAGGCCCCCATTAAGCAGTGTCCTGTTTGCCGGGTTTATATCGAGCGCAACGAAGGCTGTGCCCAGATGATGTGCAAGAACTGCAAGCACACATTTTGCTGGTACTGTCTCCAGAACCTGGATGTAAGTTCCATTTACAAGAGGCTTCAATGACCTTTCACCATAACAGTATGTGTTCAACAGTTAGCATCCTACAGATTTTCCTTTTAAAATAATGAGTCTATTTTTGTCCTGCAAGGACAAAATGATATTTACTTTTTTTAAATTAGACTTCCTATACCTGCTATTTTAGATATCTATAAAACCTCTATTAGATTACCTTAAGTGTGCATCTTAACTCTACAGGCAAGCTTTTTTTTTTTTCTTAAAGATGTGTTTGTTTAAGCATACAACAAGTGGGGTGTAGGCCAGAGGTGTGGGGGGGGTGAGAGGATTCACCAGAGACAGAGTGGGGAACAGATCAGGCAGATTGACCAAAGTACACTGCTGAGGGGAGCAGTGGGCGAGTCAGGAGAGGTTTGCTACGCCATGTGAGTTGCTCCCTGGCTGGGGATCGAACTTGTGCTGCAGCGGCTGGTGATAGCTTCATAGTGCTGAGATTTAACCCCTTGTGCCACCAGGAGTCCCCAAGAACCTTATTATCTAACCCCTGACCTGATGATCCAGTCTCAGGGCTAAGTTTCAGAGACATGAGGTCACACTTTAATACTTGCCTAATATTTATTGATTACATATACCTGTATGGTAACAAAATCTACCTCTGATAAAATGCAGCAAAATTCCTTCCTGTGTGTGATTTTGGGGGATAAGATGGCAATCTGCTTTATAGAAGATAAGGTTTCCTCTGAGGATTTTTTTTTTTTTTACTAAAGATTTATTTATTGATGCATATAAGAATTTGGGGTATAGGCCAGAGGTGTTGGTGGGGGTGGTGGTGAGAGGATTCACCAGAGACTCCTCTGAGAACATTATATTTATTTGATCCCCAATCTACGAAATGGACATTTTAGGTTCTAGAAGCTCAGCTATTCCAGTTGAAAGAACTATTTCATTCTTAAAAAATTCTATTTAGCATAACCCCTTGAATTACCATTATGTTTGATATTTGAAATCTGTCATAATTCCAAATGTGGGATTTTCGGAATCAGAATTTAACTGATTGGACACCCCTCATGCTTTGCAAATGAAAGAAATCTTGTTTGTTTTCCTTCAGGTTTTAACAGACTGTTAATTGGGTTCATATCCACAAGGACTCTAAGCCCATGAGGTTCTCTTTAGGAAGCAAGAATGTAAGGGAATAAATGTGTGCACCAGATCCCTGTATCCTTTGGCTACAATATATTTGGGGAATGGTGTTGCAAAGAACACACTATTCTGTCACTGTACTGTTCTGGTACATGTGATGAAATGGTACAGATGTGAAATGGCTGGATACACACACTTCAGATGTTGAAACTTCTTTGTTCTAGTCATTGTTTTTCTCGGTCATAGCCAGGGGCATTGGCTTGCTGGACCTGATGTTTTTCTCTAGACAAGTGTTTTATGTCATATGGTGGTGGTGATTGTTGTTTATAGGAAAGTTTTAGAGCATGGATCTAAGGGAAGGGTTTAAGTGCCCAACAGCCCAGCCTGAGACAGACAACAGACAGAGTTTCGAGTTTTGCTGGAGTTTTGAGTCTGTCTTTATCTTGGTTCTCGTCCCTACTGTTTCAGAGAAGATATTCTCAGTCCTCTGTTTTGGGCACCTCAGAACCTGTCCTCTTCAGTTATCTCTCCTCTCTCTGTGACATCAGCACACACTCTCCACTCTCTGAACATGTACGTGCATTTAACTGTGTCCCCCAAACAAGTAGCACTTTTCTCAAATCTCTGTCTTTCCCTTACTGCCATTCAACTTCTCCCCTTTCTTTAGAAGCTAAATTTCAAAACCCATAATCACTTCCATTTGTTGACACTTGAATAATTGCATTGTACTCAGCTTTCCTTACCTAGTTACGCTCTCACGGTGCTCTAACAAGACTTCTAGTGATTTCTTTTAGTTAAAATCCAATGGGTACTACAGTTCATATCTTACTTAGATTCCCTGATGCCTGTGACATCTTGGCCACCTCTGTTTCAGTGGTACCATCTCTTCTGCTTTCCTTTTTATGTTTCTAGCCACTTCCCTGTTCCTTCCAGGCTCTTCCATGACTCATTCTTAGATGTTCAATAGTCTCTTGACTTCTCAATCTACATTCTCTTCCTGAATAATCTTCTCTGCTTCTGTGGATTGTTGTGTGCCCTGTGCACTGACTCACAAGTCTTGATTCTTTTATAAAAAAGGATTCATTTATTTATGCATACAAGAACTGGGGTACAGGCCAGAGGTGTGGGGAGTGAAAGGACTCACCAGAGACAGAGCCAGGAACAGAACAGGCAGACTGACTGAAATACACTGCTGAGGGGAGCAGCTGTTGAGTCCGGAGAGGTCTGCTGTGCCCTGTGGGTAGCTCCCTGGCTGGCCGGGGATCGAACTTGTGCTGCAGTGGCTGCAGATAGCTTCACAGTGCTGTGCTTAACCCCTTGAGCCACCAGGGAGGACCCCCCAAGTCTTGATTCTAAACTCCAGATCTGTGTAACCAGTTGCCTTTTGAACAGGGTGGCTTGAATATCTAAGGTGTCACTCAAATTCAATTTGTCCAAACTGAGGTCATCATCTGACAAAAACCTCCATGTTGTCATTTCTCTCGACAGTCACAGCCTTTCCCCCAGTGACTTCCTCCTCATCTGTGGTATTTTCTCCCTGTGTCCCATCTAGTTAGTCACTCTCTTGATATCTCATGACTTTGTTTTCCTGTTCTCCATTCCTCAGCCAATGACATTTCATCTCACCTGGTTTGTACCACAACTGCGTTCCTCAGAGTCCTCTCACTCCACCTCAAACCTCTGCCAGAGCTACTTTTTTTTTTTTTTAACTATTTATTTATTTATTTATTTATTTATTTATTTATTTATTTATTTATTTATTTATTTATTCATACAAGCACTGGGTACAGTCAGAAGCGCAGGAGGGTGAGAGAATTCACCAGAGCCAGAGCAGGGAGCAGAACAGGCAGAAGGACCAAAGTACACTGCTGAGGGGAGCAGCGGGCGGCAGGAGAGGTCTGAGTGCCATGTGGGACCCTCACCTGGCGGCCGGGGCTCGAACTGGTGCTGCAAAGGCTGTGGGCAGCTTCGCAAACCAGAGCTCAACTGCTGCGCCACCAGGGGAGGCCCAACCAGAGCTACTTTTTAAAGACAGTTGATTAATTTCTGTCAGACTCTGTCAAGGATGTATTTTAACTCAGTGATTTATAAAACCACTAAGATAAATTCTAAAGATGAGCAATTTGAAATTCCTAGACACCATCATTAATATCACCACAGAGCCCTGGCTTCCATGAGCTGATCTACTGTGTGGTTAGTGTCCACCTTTTAATTCAAAACCCCATGTTGACTGAAACCTCTCTCTTGTTTTTCAGAATGATATTTTCCTCAGACATTATGACAAAGGGCCGTGTAGGAATAAGCTTGGTCACTCAAGAGCCTCTGTGATGTGGAACCGAACACAGGTACACTGACCTTCAAAGGAGATAAAGGAGACTCAGGGTGGCTTGCAAACTCGACATATTCACACTCCCCACCCTATCCCTTCCTGATCCTTTCCAACCTGGGAGGTTCTAGGAAGTTCTGGGACAGGGCTAGGAAAATCATAGAGCAATGACTGGATGTTCATTCATGAGGAGAAATCTCTTGAGGAGCAGCACAGGGCCAGGGCACTGGAACTGCCAAGCTAACCATACTGATAGTATACTGTACATATAGTGGCCTGTAGAATGTCCTTGTAAATAAAATGACAGAATGACTTTCTGAAAGCACTTTAAGGCTTATTTGTGTGAAAAGACATTGCCCTAAAATCCTGTGACTTCCCCCACCACCTGCCTTGAGACCCAAAATCCTTCTGTACATGCCCTGTGTGTTTATGCACAGGTTTAAAGGGACTCCTGATTTAATTTTAATAGTGTTGCCTATTTAATAAAAGTTGTGTTCCCTTGGTGGGCATCAGTGTTAACAGCCTAGCAATCTTTATTAGTATCTCCATGTGACTGTTGAGGAAACTCAGGTAGAGAGAGACCCAACACCAACAGGTCATGATGCTGAGTTTGTCCCTATGCTTGAGTAGTTACCATTTGGTTTGTTCTTCTCACCTTTAATTTAGTCTTTAGTGTCTCCCCGGCTTATATCCACTTCAGACCACTGCTGGGCACTGGCTAAAATGTCCCATAGTCGACCCCTTTTTATATGCCTAAGAGATGCCTTAGTTCAGGCCACTGTAACAAAGCACTGCAAAATGGACTAGGGGCTTACCCAAGAGAAATCTACTTTTCACAGCTCTGGATACTGGAAGCCTGTGATCAGGGTGCCAGCATGGTTGGGTTCTAGTGAAAAGACCTGGTTTGCAGATGACTGTCTTCTCACAGTTACAGTGTAGAGACAGGAAGCAAATTCCCTGGTGTCTTTTCTTATAATGGCACTAATCCTATTGCGAGGAGTTCACTCTCATGTCCTAATTACCTCCAAAGGCCCCCATAAACACCAACGTATCAGAGGTTTTTTTTAAAGATTTATTTTAATTTATTTATGCATAAAAGAACTGGGGTACAGGCCAGAGGTGTAGGGGGTAAGAGGATTCACCAGAGACAGAGTGGGGAGCAGAACAGGCAGACTGACTGAAATACACAGCTGAGGGGAGCAGCAGGCGAGACAGGAGAGGTCTGCTGTGCCATGTGGGTTAGCTCCCTGGCCAGGGATTGAAATCATGCTGCAGTGGCTGCCTATACCTTGATAGTGCTGATAACCCTGCACCACCAGGGAGGCCCCTGTATTGGGGATTTTTAACATAAACATTCAGCTTATCGAAGACTGAGCTGCTGAAATAGTTTTTGTTTTCAATTTCCAGGTGGTGGGGATCCTCGTTGGGCTGGGCATCATTGCCTTGGTGACTTCGCCCTTGCTGCTCCTGGCTTCCCCATGTATAATCTGCTGTGTCTGCAAGTCCTGTCGGGGCAAGAAGAAAAAGCACGACCCACCCACAACCTAAAGATCTCTGTTCCTGTCCACGTGCCACGGATGTCTGGGTTATACGAGACAGCACAGCGATAAAGCCCCGCTTAGTGAATTTGCCTCCTTCTAGCCAAACTTTGGAAGTGCCTCTGTGTTCAGACTTTGAACTTGCCTGGTGCGTGTGTAAAGAGAATCGGGTCTCTCAGCCCAGGTTGCGCTTATGGATTATGTTGGGAAGCTTCGGAGTTGTGGGGGAGGAACTGACACATCATCATTTTATCATATGCAAAGGATTCCACTGGACTGTTCAACTTCCAGCCAAATCTAAGGGGCCTGTGCCAACATTCGATCTAATAAATGTGTTGTCACGGTTGGCAACACACGTGATAACTGCGAAGCCAGTGTTCTGTGTTGGTTGGGCACCATGAGAAACATGGGGGAGATCACCACATGGGAGGGGAAGGATAAGACTGTTTAAGGGAAAATCTCATCAAAGCTGTAAAGCAGGCAGCTTATCTGGGGAGCTGAGACAGTGGCCGGCTACTGGATGTGCTGTTCCCAGCATTCCCACAGTGACTTGGCAGAAACACAATCGCTTTCTCCTCGTGTGATCTCAGCTCCAAGCAGGAGAAACTGCTGTGCACAGGGAATTGTCTCTTCCTAGTAAAAGGGTCACAGCATGTAAAACAATATTGTCTCTCCCTTGGCAAGTATAGCATCTTGAAGGCGATCAACTCTTCGCTTACACTCACTCGCTGTAGTCTGGAAGATTATTTTATGTGAAGTCTGGGCAGAGTGGCAGAGTTTTAAAACCTTCATCTTAGAGAACAGCTCTGTGTTCATTCAGCCAGCAGATTTAGAGTTGAGCCTAACAGTACACACCAAGAGTGAATATTAAAATTTACCATGTGCCCATGTAGAATCCATATAACTTGCTGCCTAGCGAGAATTTCTATCCACTAGGCATGCATGAATAGACCCATGAGTACACACACGATAAATGTTTCTCTAAAAGCCATTTTGTTTTTTCTTTCTGACTAATAAATCAATCTAAAGATTTGTTTTGCATTTAATGTATGTAAATTTTGGTTACAAGATCATAACTCAAGCAAAGGTATAGCCTCGTAAACATAACTCCTAAAACAATATTGAGTACAGTATCCTACCATCTCAGTTTGTGGAAACTCAACTTGATAATCACATTTTTTATATGTTTTCATACACAATTCAGAGCAGCTCTCTTCTCAGCAAAGTTTAGTATTGTCCTTTCAGAATCTGCTAGGGCAATCTGAATACTTTCTGAATGTTTAAGGCACTGATAAAAACGACCATAAATATGTGAGATAAAAAGTCAATGCTTTATACTATCTCAAATAGTTTGGATTTCTGTCACCTCATTGTGGCTTATTTTTCCCATTAAATCATGCGTCAGATTTTGAATAAACGGGTTTTGAAAAGACAATAGCTTTTTTCTCCAATGACAGGATTATGTAATTGCCATTAGCAATGTAGCCTGGTACTTCCTGCGAACTATTTCAAGTGATAATGGAGAATGCTCCTTGAAGCCAGGGATAACTCATCAGGAACTATCAGAACACATGGTGTTTTCTGAGGTAACTAGACTATTAAATTGCTGCTATCCTGGACCTATGATTAAAGAGTGATGCTTTGCTATGTAATGGAAGGTATCCTGGTTGTGTATATGTAAGGAACTTTCATTCATATGTACATATTGACATCTGATACATGTATTACTATACATTGGTCATGGACCTTTTTTCATTTACAGTTTGTATAGAACATAGATGGGAACTCTGGGAAAACTTTTGAATCATAACCAACCAAAAAACATTTTTAATGGCTTATTAGAAATTTCTCAGTATTAAGTGTCTTAATTTTCCTTTGAAACTCTCGACACTTCAGGAAAAAAATCAACACCCTTTTTTATCAATGAGTTTCAGATTGGTATAGTTACACATATACATATATTTGAATAGTTTGCTTTGTCTTATACTGCCTCATTATAGTAAAAGGCATTTATAATTGCTCAGGGGATCACAGAATTCAACTGAAATTGAATTTTTGTATCAAGAATGTCAGTAGTGGCAATGTATTCCTTTATTAGTAAAATTTTCCAAGTTTGGGTCCATAATTTTTAAACAATTGGGACTGGTTTCGAGGAAGCTACAATATTGTGTTATCAGTGGAGTAGCTCCTGAATTTGGAAGGAAGGTAGAAGAAAACCAAAATTGCTTGGCAAAATTGAAGGAACTTACCTTCCCAGAAAGTATAAAAGAATTAGCTACTTTCTTGTGGGGGGTAGACAGAGGGTTTATTTGTCTAACAGATCTAAAATGACTGGATTTAAAGTTTTTAAAGGTCAAAAAGTGCTTGAAAATGGTGACTTCCTCCTCAAATAGCTAAATGAGTTGGCCTGCGTGAAACTGTTAGTCAGGGCCTGCAGGGACTAGTTGGTAGTTTCAGCCCAAATATGTCTCTTTGTGCATCAGAAAGTGAGACGCAAAGGCTCTGGAGGCCTCGCTTAAAGGAGAAGCTGGCAGTTCTGCTAACAGTGAAGTTCTGGGCTTGGATATTTGTCCAGTCAAATTGTCACCTTCCTTTGTGAGTTTTATACTTTCCTAGTGATACTCTGTCCTAGGAAGAAATATGGGATTATATAATAATATCTGGATGTTGTGGCAAACTCTCTGTGTTTGCAATGGCGTTGTCCATTGAAAGAAATAAAAAATCCTTCACCAAGTTGTAATCTGGATATTAACCCCCACCATCAAGAAACCCAGTGGTTGAAATGGCATATCTGGTTGGTGCCCCTTCGAGCAATTTTTCTCATCTACTTGGTGGGGAGGCGAGAACGCAAGCCCTATGGGAGCATATTTTAGAATCTTAGGCATCCTATTTGTTCATGCCATGGATGTTTGCTCTGGACTTGAAATGTATTTTGAAAGAGGCCTTTGAAAAATGAGCAATTCACTGTGTGAATTTTCTTGTAGCCTGCATCACGAACACCTTATTTATCAAAGTTTGAAACTCTACGTTTATTTGAATGTAAATCACTGTCACTTGGAAACCCACATTGTCTCTTAAATATTCTCCAGAATCTAAATATGTATTACTCTAACCTTCCCTAAACAGTGCTTCTAAAAGACTTTCTGTTCATCAGTGGATTCCTTTATTTATATGGAATAATGTATAGATGTGTGGCTTTGAGGACAATTTCAGAATTGCCTTAGATGAATGACATTTTATAAAGCTGTCACAATTGATGTCTATAGGCTATTACATCTCATCTTGATTTATGATCCAGGAAAGTTTTGTTATGTCTTTAAGAAATTGCTGTTGTATTCTATTTTTCCAGTTATTTGGGAGGAAAATAGCTGCTTTAGTCTCTCTAGCCCCAATAAATGTGGAGGAAATCAAGTATTTTAACCTTTGTTATGCGGTGTGTTCAAAACCTGTTCAATTTAATCATCCAGGAAGCAGCCAAGTTGCTATTAAATCCTAGGTTCAGAATTGACAAAATGTACCCAAATCTTTGATACCATTTATGGAAATAACCCTTGCTGCCTTGTTTCATTAGAAGGTAAGGGAGCAAGTGTAATGCCTTCGCTTGTTGCAGACTTTGTGTGTGTGATAATCCACACAATCAGGGCGCTGGCATTAATCATTATCCAGAGAAATAACCAGTAATATAGGTCTTTGATCATGTTTTTAAAATGTTGCCTGGTATCAAAGTATTAGTTCTGAAAAATAAGGGTTGAACTAAGGGTTTTGTAAGGTGACTTCTAACCTTCCAAAAAGTCTCCTAGAGGAATGTGTTTCCTTGTTATGATTTTTAATGGATTTATACTAGTGTTTAAGATCATATGCATTTGATTAGTATTCCAGGCAGGACATGCCTAAAGTTGATTGCCAGAAGTCATTTAACAACCAGAATTTGTGTTTCTGCAGAACTGAAATTACTATTCTGGTGCTGACACCTTTTTAGTGAATGCTATATGTTTGTTTCTAATATGATACCCCAGTACAAAGGTTTGCAATTGACTTACAATTCATATTCATTTGTTAGTCGTGAGGTTTTGAGGAAATCAGTACGATAATTTTAAAACATCTTTGGGTTATGGTTTCTTAATTGGTTTAATCATCTCGTGGAATGTCAACATTATTTCATATTTGGCATGTGCTTATTGTTTGCTAAACTTGAATTTGCATTCCCAAAGAATTAATGAATGAGCCATTTTCTACAGCAGTGATTTTAATCAATGCCCTAACCAGCAAACTCATTGCCATGTAAATTATAAACCTAGTGAATTTGGAGAATTATAATTAGATTTTTCTGTAATTCAATTATTTTCATTTGTTCGGTAATAAAGCCAGCTTTTCTTTAGACTCCAAAGATAGTATCCAAATACATTATGAAGAAGAAATGAAAACGAATTTCTTAAAATAATTTAATAGCAATGGTAATGTTTTATTTATATATTTTTGCATATGTTTCTTAAAGAATGTTTGAGGATAATCCTATGACATAAATGCAGCAGGTATTCATTTGATCTCTTTCATGGGAAAGCAGAATTTGTGTTCCTGTCTTGCCAAGCTTCACACTATTGATGTATGGCAGCCAGCAAAGACTAGAAAGTATGCAAGACTAGAAAGAATGCAAGACTAGAAAGTAATTTTATGCTCTTTTATTAGTCAATTACTCTGAGCCTGCCTTAGCCCTCTTGTCTGTGAGTCCCAAGAGAATGTCCTCTCTCTCAATCACCTGCATCAGTGGAAGTGTATGTAATATAATAACTTATTATTAAAAATAGCCAGTCTGTAGTTTGGTGTGTCTGACAGCAAGCCCAGTGCAAATGGCTACCCCTTGAGATCAACCCCAGTCCCTTCTTGGGGTTTAGCTAGAGAAGGGGAGAGGGATGGAATGCCATTCATTAGAGAAATATCTAGATGGCATGAATGTGACTTGCCAATATTGGAACTAGAATTATAGCTGGATCTGTTTATATAAATAAAACATTACCATTGCTATTATTTTAAGAAATTTATTTTCATTTCTTCTTCATAATGTACTTGGATACTATCGTTGGAGTCTAAAGAAAAGCTGGATTTATTACCTAACAAATGAAAATAATTGAATTACAGAAAAATCTAATTATAATTCTCCAAATTCACTAGATTTATAATTTACATGGCAACATTATGTACGTCTTAAATGAACATGCACTGATGTTTTCTGGTCTCCACCCCTACCTTCGCGCTAAAGCAGTCCTCGGCTTCCAAGACTACAACTCCCATCACGCCATTATCTACCACGACACTTGACATCTTAACAGGGGGATTGCTGGGAAGTAAGGGTCAAGCTGAACAGCCCTGTGGTGTGAAGAAAAGACCTGGGTCTGCAGGGGGCTGCTTGCTTTTGCCTGCCTTCTGCGTGCACTTGGCACCCCAGCTCTGCCAGCATTACTGGTAGGTCATATTGGGCAAATAATTTCTCTCGCTCCCTCACTTTCCCTTTTCCCTTGTAGATAAACCCTCTCTTAACCTTGCCCAGCGTGCCTACGTTGGGGTCTTTTTCTGAGTTTTTTAAAATGTGTGGGTGAGGACTCACACCATCCTGTTTCCCTTTTGGTTGCCCAGTAAATGTCTACTTTAGCAGGTGCCTCTTCCCTGCATATGCAAAATATATGTTTCTCCCAGTTTTCTTCCAGTCCTTAACCACCAAGACTCAGAGTGATTTTTTTTTTTTTTACAATTTCCTTGAAGCATTTTATTTATTTATTTATTTTGGACAGGTTTTATTTTTTATATTTTAATTTATATAATTCTTACATCGTTTTTCAGTTTTGCACATGCATGTATTTTCGTTTTGGTTATATTCCCCATACAATGCCCACCTCCCCTTATTTTGACCCTAGTCCCTCCCTATCCCCCCAGTATGTCTCTGGTTTATAGTTGCCTGTTGATTTTGATTTTTACTTTATTATAATTAGTCTTTTTCCTGGTCCCTTATTTAGGTTTTCTAAATTCCTGCTATGAGTGAGACCATCCGGTATTTTTCTTTTTCATTCTGGCTTATTTCGCTGAGCATGATCCCTTCCAGCGCCATCCATGTTGCTGCAAATTGTTCTTAGTGCAGATCCAAATCCTATCCTAAAAACACTGCCCACTTGTGATCTGACGTGTGTCAGTAGCTTATTATCAAACTGACTGGAGTTTCAGAGGCTAGAAATGGTGCTATAAATAATGAACGTCTGGAGTTAATTTCTGATGTGTGTAAAGCTGTACTTTGAGGTCCATTTTCTGCTTTTGCTTTTCAATGTTATCAGTATCATTTTATCAGTTTTGCTTCCTTTTTCATCTAGAACTAGAATTCAGGCTTTTGCTGGAAAGGAAATTTCGTCTGTTAGCCATTTTACCTTGTAACCTCCTGGTGACCTGACACGACTTTTCCTTTTAAAGGAGTAGATGGTTGCTTAACATTAATTTTATTGAGCACATTCAAAGAAAGGGAACAAAGGTGAGTTGTGAGACTTCTCATTATTGATTAGCCCAGACTTATTTTTTAAAGCCAAGCTTGTTTGTTTAACTGAAAGCAAACAATTCCAGAAATCCATACACCTCCCTGCATGGTGTGTCCCAAATTCCAGCCAGGCCCTGGGACTTTGGCATCCCAAGAGCACGTGAACAGAGGGTTGGGAGAGAATGACAGTGATGTCACCTGGCCGCTGAACAAATGTGCAGCATCCTCTGTTTTCCCCATCTGCCTCACCCTCTGTGGTACAGATGGTGTGGGGGTGGGGACAGACACCTTGTTTGCAACAAGATGGCTTCTGCTATGCCTCCCTGGTGACGCAGGGGTTAAAGACACCGTGCTATCAAGCTGTCACCAGCCACAGCAGCACGAGTTCAATCCCCAACCCACATGGAGCAGCAGACCTCTCCTGTCTTGCCTGCTGCTCCCCTCAGCAGTGTATTTCTGTCAATCTTCCTGCTCCGCTCCCCACTCTGTCTCTGGTGAGTTCCCTCATCACCCCCACTTCTGGCCTATACCCCAGTTCTTCTATATGAAGAAAAAAAATTAACGGCACAGGGCCACCAGAGTGGGCTAGCAAGAAACTGAAATCTGAACCCTTATCTTGCATGAACCAGCTGGAGGACCAGGTGGCATTATTGTAACTTTTTAAAAAGTGACTTAAAACAACACATACATTTTTTATTTTTTTTTCAACATGGCAATTTTTTTTTTTAGCATTCCTAAGAGTTTTTATTTTTTTAAATTTTTTACATTATTGTTCATTTTTAAATAATATTTGCTCCCTCACACCCCCTCAGGTGGAGTCCCCATAGAGTTTCCTTCCCCAATGCACCCGTGCACCATCACCTCAGTCCCTCTGATCCCTCTCCCCGCCTCCTCCCCTGCAGGATGTCTCTGATTTATAATTGTCTGTTTTTGCTTAGTTGTGTTTTGTACTGTTATTATTTTTTCCCCTGATGTCTTATTGGGTTCCCCTATATTCCTGCTATAAGTGAAACCCTCTGATATTTTTCTTTTTCCTTCTGGCTTAATTCACTGATCATAATTCCTTCTAGCTCCATCCATGTTGCTGCTAATGGCATGAGCTTATCTTTTTGATTGCTGAATAATATTCCTTTGGGTATATGTGCCACATCTTCTTCATCCAATCATCTATTTTTGGGCATTTGGGTTAAAACAACTCATTTATTAATTGAGTTTTTGTACAGCAGGGAGTTAACTATTTTAAATTAGAATGGCTATTATTTTGATTAGTAGTGGAAGACAAGAAGATAGGAGAGCTCTTCTAGTCTTGTATGGCTTTGGGCCAGTTACAATTTATCTTGGTCTCAGTTCCCTCATCTAGAAAATTGTGTTTGTTTTCTAGGTTCAAATGCAAATCTAATCTTTCGTGCAAGATGGAAAAGATCACTAGCACCCACTGAGAGCACCTATACTTGAAGTTACCTAGCCCAAGGGAAATTCTAATTAGACAAGGAACTGTTAATTGTTAGAGAAAGTTTCTTGGCACTAAAGTATGGATCATTTCAGTAGCATATGAAATATATTACCAGTTTATTTAAAAGGAGCAAATTCAAAGAGCAGTGGTTGAACTTCATGGTTTGTTTACACCCCTTGATGGTTGAAAAGACTTAGAACAGAAGTTGCTTGGGGAATTTCCAGGGACATGTTTCTTCTAGTATTTATATTAAAAACATCAGAACTTCAGTGTCCTTGTTTGAAACACAAAATAGACTATTTATTCTGCTTGTCAGTCTGAGGATTTTTCTTAACATTCAGTTGCTTGTTATTAATTTTTCTCATATTTCCAGTACACATTCCACAGTCTGTGAATTGAATTAAATTTAAGGTATATATGTGTTAATGAATGCTGTATGGGACTGTGCATGCATGTGTGTGTGT